CTTGTGGACCCACGACTTCCTGCAGACAAAGGGGTCCGTCACCGTCACGGAAATGGTGGCCGACCGGCGAGGATGGTGGCGGAGACGCCCGACCCGACTGGAGGAGTTTCAAATTTAGTAGAACCATCTCGTGCCCTAGCACTACCCCGTACCATACAGATTTCTCGAAAAATGGGTCGACTATTTCGTAGCAAAGCCTTCACACGCACCACGTTTACTGGGACCTGCGACGACCATAACGAATAAAGCCCGAGTGTCTACGTTCAAGCGGAGCAGGCACGGAGTGAACCGTTGCAGTTTATAGACAAAATTTTGACTGTGTTTGCGGCCTAAAAAGTCGCTGCGCTAAGGTACGTCAACCGGCGGAAACTTCGATCTACTTCCTGTTTACGCCAGAAAATGTATTTAATATAATGAGATGCATTTATTGTTGGTGCTTACAGATTTAGAGAATTGTCTTGGTAAGGTGAAACAAATATTTTGGTTAGCTAAAGTTTGGCCCTCACACTTTGCTCTTGTTGGTCTTTTTTTTTTTTTTTTTTTTTATTTTGACTGTTGAGAACAGTTGCGCGTCGACTGCCGTGGTCGCGGCTGCGTCTACTGCTCGACGGTGCCTGTGCTAGCGTTGCGGTGGTGGTTATCATTTGCGGCAGCGGGCGCTTTTGTTCGCCTGTTGGTCATCGGTCTATTTCGACTATCAGTATGTCGAGCAAACGGCACCTTGTCAATTGCTCGACTCAGTGGCGCTGCAATTCCTGTGGCAACAGCTCTGCCAAGTTCTTTGGATAACCGAGTGACGAAAGGTAAAGACAGGGGCTGCTATACTTTTGCTTCTACAGTTTCGGATTGCCAAAAATTGCTAGTTTATGTTTCAATATGCTAGTTATTTTGGAAGGTCACAAAGGACACGGCATTTACGTTAAGATGAGCGGTGTGGGGGGATTGCTGTTGGAGTACTGCAGCTCAGTAGCACGCGCGTGGAGCAGCTCGTGCTGAAGAAGGAACCTGCGAGAGACTGTGGCGATCGAGTCACTGTTGCTAATTACAGCAAGGTTGACAATGTGATTGCAGGTCTGTGAATACTTGAATAGTAGCTTCATGTAGATTCTGTTACTTTGTTGTGCCGTGAAGTAAGTATTTTTTTTACATATAAAGAGCGTGCCTCATAAAAAGAGAACTTGAAAAAGAAGTTTAAACTTGTGCTCAGACTGGCGACGTGCGCCCGTCTTAAGCCGCGGAACACCGGCAGCTGGGCACGCTTTGCACTCATTGATTGACGATATGATGAGAAGTGGTTGTCACTGAACACGACTGTTGCCAAGCAGAACTCAATTGAGTGACGCAAAGTCAAGTGCAATCATTTTGGAAGCATCGGACATTCGCAAAAAAAGGTAGACACTTTCTTTTTTGTTTTATCTAAAAAAAGATATTGCCATTACATCGTTTTGTAGAAGAACCAGACGGCAGCAATGGGATGCAAGTCCAATCAGAGTTAAGGGCAGTTTTTCTTCTCTCAACATTGGCGACAATAGGATGGAAGTTCGTTGGGAGTTTGGAGGCTGCTCCGAACTCCAAACGAACTTGCATCCTATTGTCGCTGAGGGCGAGAGAGGGAGAGGAGGGACAACGCTTCTCACACCCTCCCCCCTAACCTAGCGGTTGCCACAACGACGGTGCGCATATTGTTTTATTTCTTATTGTTATTGTAGAAACCCAACACCCGTTGGGAGAGATGTGCCACTGCCGTCTGCAATTGGAGTCCCAATGGGAGGGATAGGAAGAGTCTGCCGGTTGGGTACAATTGCCTGGAACCTGCCTCCAGCTGCTGTGTTTAGCGTCCATGCATCTAAAGTGGTCCGGGAAAGGCAACAAATGACGTCACAAAAGCCGGAATGACTTGCTCTCGGATGTCGCGATCCTAGCAAACAAGCAATAAAGTCCCGTAGAAAAAAAATGAAATAAAGAAAGACGTTTACATCTTTCTGCAATGCCGAACTAGAGCGCAGTTCTTGAGGAGGACGAGGAGGGGAGAGTAGGGTGTGCCCCTCCTCCTCAGTACTCTCTCCTCCTGTCCCTCCCCTCCTCCTCCCTTTCCCCCTGCTCCATCCTCCTTCTCTCATTCTCCTTCCTCCTCTTCCCGCCCCCTCATAACATCGCTCGTGAAGGTCGTCACCTTCACTGATAAGATCATCGCCTTTACTGTGGAGGTCGTGACCTTTGTCGTGACCTCCACAAGTGTCTTTGGGGACGTCACTCGTGACGTCTTTCGTAACCTTCGTGACGTCACTTGTGACCCTCATGACATCATTATGGGAAATGTCCCATGATGCAACGCGTGGGTCATGAGTGACCCGCGTGTTGCATCATCGGACGTTTCCCATAATGCAACGCGCAATTACGCCGACGATGCTCAAGCTGAAAACAGGTGCTTAAGAGCTGCGCCATAAAAAGAGACTGCAAGTGCGGCTGTTGTTGCGGCATTCTAACTACAGGCTGCCAGGGCTTCCGTAAACCGGCAAGCTGGCAAGCGACCGGCGGCAAGACGGGTGTCTCCCGTGCCCAGCTCTGCCACTACGTCACCAGCAGGATCGCGGCAGGCTACATACAGCACGACACTTCTACCACATCATCGAGCGAAAATAGAGGGCCCAAGTATGAGGACGTGGTAGGCACATGGATCGGAGACACCATCCAGGCACCGTACGCTATCTCCAAAAGCTAGTTGAGGAGAGCCCCTTACTTGAACCAGCAGGTTGTGCTGGCACGACGAAAACTTGTTCCGGTTCAACGAGTCGCAACGCTGCCGAACACTGTGCTGCAGGGAGGCCACAAGAAGGCAACAACTGTCCCATAACAACTTCGTCAAAACAACTATGTCACAACCACTTGTTGCTTTGACTGTTCGACCTCGCGGAACTTGATTACGTCTGCTTGGGGCCGAAATCTGTCGCACACGGCGGGGGGTGCGTGCCGAGGTGGCCTCACCGATGGTCAGATCCATGAGGACTTGATGTTGCTAGACTTCCACTGAAGATGCTGCCCCAGGACCTAGAAGGATCAAATGAATGGGGTTGCAGTAAATACACAATGTATGGACACCCCCCCGATAAACCCAACGTTTTGTAATGGAGGTGGAACCGACTGCCCAGTGCCCACATTCCAGATGAAGACTAGGCATCTTTAGGACAGCTGTGGCGCACAGTGAATGCTAAGAGTGAAAGCTCCCAGCTTCAGAAGCTGCTTTAACTGTTTTACAGTAATCTCAGCCTACAGTACTCGTGCACTATAAGTTCAGCAATCTACCTTATAAGTTTCCGCTTTTTACAGGCAAGCAAGCAAGTTTAAGTCAAACATGATTTAAAGCCAGCTGTATGCCGTCGCACCACACTGCGGTTGCACTGTGCTCAGCACGACGAAGTCACCCAAAGTCAACATTGCCCACGTTAAATATCACCGATTTTTCTTTCTTCGGGCCATAACCTGACCGACAGTTCGGAACAGAACAGTAGTGGCCCATACCTCAAGAATCTTTGCTGTACATAGGGGTCGAAAACCCGACGAGAAATGCCAGTTTCCTCTGCTACCACCATACTTGTCTGCTTCAGGCAAGTTCGGGAGCAAAACAAACAAAATGAAAAGCAAAGCATAGCGTCGGACGTTTCACAGAGGACTTCACATTGCCAGTCGCTCACACGATTTGGAAAATGCATAAAACTTGGGAAAAATTTCAATAAATAATCATGTGGTAATTTTATTTCGTCAGGATTTAGTAAATTCTACTTCAAATTAAGAAACATCGCTGACACAATGCATTCTCTCGTAGAGTTTCATACAAACACGGGTCTATCGCCTTCCGTATGCCGCCGCACCATCTATCGCAATGCTAACACACCTGCCGAGTGAAAGCCGCCAGGAGGACACAATCAGGTCGCAAGACAGCGGTAGGTTTTAGTGGTCGTTTCTCCACCTGCCTGTCTTATATCCTGCCCTAGAACTACCTTTCACTAGAGCAAAGCTTTGGCAGGATTTTATGAGATCAAACGTACACACTGCCTACGGGAAGTGGTTGCTTGTCACTGGGCTTCTGTGTTCTCGGATAAATCAGATAAACTCAGAATTTCAAAGCCATGATAGAAAAAAAAAAAAAGCCAATAGGGACGGTACTTAACAAATTTCGCGGAGCACAGGACTAGTGGTTTCAAGTAAAGGCCAGTTCGGTTTTATTTATCTTGGACTATTGACAAAATGAAGCTTCCCGTTTATCTTGTCAAAAATCGTTCAGTACAATGGGTTAACATCCTTCTCAACCACGACGAAAATTCTGCTCCGGGTCTTCAAACAATAGGGCGCTCTATTGTTTGAAGACCGGTGGCTTCACTGCAGTACAAACAGAGCCACTTCTCCTTAGAGGGAGAAAAGGTTCTGTTTTTATACCGATGAAAGATGTGAACTTGTAGATTTCGTAGTATGAGGAGGGCCTGAATGGTTTTATGCCTGTGTGGCTATTTGAAAGTACCGACGTTTATTGAAGTAACTTATTGTTTCAAGGTTTGTCGTGGGACAGTTAATACTGCTAATCGCAAGGGCGCCAATGCCAAATGTTTTTTGTCTGGGCATTTAATTTTGTTTAAAAAAAAATTAAGAACAGTGCTCCCCATTTCGGAGAATCGGGAATCAAACAAAAATAATCTCCGATAAACCTGGAATTTCCAGCAAAATATAAAAATCCGAAAAATACCCTAAGAATTTCGCAAAAAAATAAACTCCGAAAACATGGAATCCTGCTTCTAACATTGTCAGAAATTCTTTGAGCCAAAAATGAAAGAATGATGCGCAAAAAATACAGGAAACATGCAGAGTGTTCCAGTGCTACTTGATAGACGGCGCAAGCATTTTCTCGTCGCAAGAGATATCAAGAGGTTTTGAGGCACACGTTCGTAAGCAGTCGCAACAGTGTGACCCAGCCTTAAAGTCACCCCGAAGAAATCCGCAAGACCCACCTAAACCAGGAAGTCATGGCGGCACGACGTCCGGTCGTTCCGGCAGCACCGCCACGACTGGCAGTGTCGCCACCACGGGCTGAATCGGAATGCCGTGCCGTTCCACGTTGCGCAAGTAGACGATGTCTGCCTGCGGCTGCACTTCGTTGCGGACGGAGGTGGGGACCCACCGTAGTGGCCGGGCCACGACGGCGTACGAGCCAATAGAATTCGTGGGGACAGGAGCTTGCTGGAACTCTTTCAGAGGTGCCGCACCCAGATCTAGAAAGAGAAAACCAATGGATGTCGCAGTGACCACACTGTAAAAGGCATTGATTTTATGGGTAAAGATTGTTTAAAAAAAAGAAAGCCGCGAAATTGACACTAATGCGGTGCCAGTTGCGTCCACGGCCAACCAAAATTACGGCAACAATAAAAATACCGGGACCCCAACTGCGGCTCGCGATTCTTTCGCGAGGTTACTACTTGCGCTTGTCACATCATGCGCGGCAAAAAGGCTTCCCAGTGGCTAGATTCTTGGCGCCATTTCGGTCATTCTAAACAAAACCAATGCAACTTTCAGAATCAGGCTCGGCAATATAATTCATATTTAAGTACCAAACGCCTCCCCCACATCCCAGAAAACCAGCGTCGTATGAACCAGCCCGAAGAAGGCTATGCGGGCAGGGAAAGGATGGTGGAGGAGCCTCAAAGATGGCGTGGAGGCACGATAGTTTGCGCGTCCGCCAAGAGACGGCACTAATAATGAACTGCAAGAAAAACAAATTTAGCAGTCCCGCGTAAATTCACAGGAGAGTCGCAGCAATAGCTGCGACGCTGCGACACTGCGACACGCCACGGCAAAGTCATTGGGCATCGGCGTCTGTGGGGTGCGAGAAGGTAAGCGTTTGGAACAAAAGGGACGCATGTTTTGCATGTTCTGCGAGGATTTGGCAACGTCAACGACCGACGTTCTACTACGCCAACTACAACATCGACAATGGACGTCATTTCCAGTGGTGGGAAGGGCCTTATACAGCTATTGCCGTACAAATAGAGCAGCTACGTACCTGCCCCCAGAAAAATCGCTGGAGCGTCGACTTCCGTCGGATCTTGAGGCTCTGCACACAGAGGTGGTTCCAGCATAAAGAATGTCACCTAGCCGTGAAATGACACTGGGACAACAGACCAGTTTTGACGGCCACCGCTGCGTTGCCACGTTGTTGGGCCCCTTCGGAAACCTGCGGCTCTGCAATGGACGAGGTTGAATTCAACCTGTTGCCATTGACTGAATGTCGAAATCGCCAGTTTAATAAAGTACAGACCTGGATTCGTGTGGAATGTAACCTTTGTTACGTCTGTGAAATCTGGTGCTTCACCTGGTGGGAAAAAAGTGAAAGCCGTTTACAACTCCCTGTAACGCCGAATTAGAGCGCAGCTCTTGAGGAGGAGGAGGGAAGGGTACTGGGGGGGGGGGGGGGGGGGTCTGACCTTGGGTGGGGGTCACGTGACGATGACGTCATCAGTGACGTCACTGATGACGTCATCAGTGATGATGACAATGACGATGCCGGTGACGTCATCAGTGATGATGACGATGACGATGCGGATGCCGGTGACGTCATCAGTGACATCACTGATGACGTCATCAGCGATGATGACGATGACGATGCAGATGCCGGTGACGTCATCAGTAACGTCACTGATGACGTCATCAGTGATGATGACAATGACGATGCGGATGCCGGTGACGTCACTGATGACGTCATCAGTGATGATGACGCTGACGATGCGGATGCCGGTGACGTCATCAGTGACGTCACCGGCATCCACAGTGACGTCATTGATGACGTCATCGGGGGTCACGTGACTTGGGGAGCCACGTGACTTTGGGTGTCACGTGACCCTGGGGGAGGGGTCACGTGACCTTGGGTGTCATGTGACCTTGGGGTCACGTGACCTTGGGGTCATGTGACCTTAGGAGTCAAGTGACCTTGGGATGACCTTGGTTACGACGACGGCGACGCCGCTTAAGCCGGGAACGGGCCCCTAAGAGCTGCGCTCTAAAAAATCTGACACGAGACAACATTTAGACGACATGTTCCCATTACAGAAAGAAATGCTATCGGAAACGTACCATTCGTAAGAGCTGGCACTGGGTTCCTAGGTTCCCAAATTTCCTCGTAACATTCCGGCTCTGAGAGTGAAGAAGGAGGCACAACCATTTGTAATAAATGTAATGCTTTAAAACCCAGAGTAAACCCCCCACCCCAAGAAAACAAGCACCAAATTTAGGACTGACCTGATTTAACAGATACAAGATGGCTGCTAGGCTCTTCGTCCTGTTCAACATATTCTGGTGGCTCTGCAAATGCAGGGATGGCACAGCAACACATTAGCTTATGCTAAAACAACATAAAAACAATACTATTAGGAGATCCCAAAAGGAAGCTTAGCTTGAGATGCTACGAGATGTTTGGCTTACGCCAAGATACAAAGGAAGGAGCCTATGCTTAACTGTCACGATAGATATGCCCTGGACGCACTTCTTAACAAGAATTTAAAAGAATGTGCCAAGGGACACTTTAGGTCAAGCTGAAATTAAATAAAGCTTGAAGACACCTGTGCTAATAATTTTTCTAACATTAATAAATTACACAAAATGTACCCTGTTCAATTCCTTCCGGATTTGGCAGTCGCAACAGTCGGTGCAACTTTGCACCAACTATAAAATATAGTTGGTGCAATAATTGCATTTACGTGGTACGAGAATATAAGATACATATAGAATAGATCCTTTTAAGCATTTAATATAGGAGCATTAAAATGCACTGCCTTTATTCGCTTTAATACTCTGCAACGGAGGACAGCTCTAAATCAACAACGCCCAGTGTCTTCGGGAAAAGATGGTAAGAATTCAGGTACGAAACAAGCTTAATTGTAAATTGTTACCCATTATTTGCACAAGTGTTATTTAAAGAAGATATTTTGTGCCATATGTGTTATGCTGCAGTTTTTTATTGGTAGATTTATATCAAGAATGAATAGCAGTTGTTGGTCCTTCTGTAATGTAAACAAATTAATTTTCGCTAACATCGCACCTTGAAATAAAACAAAAAAATTTATCCCACAAATAGATCACCTCATGTTACTTAATGCAATACATATTGCTCCATATCAGGAAATTTTGTACCCGCAAAATATTTCCAAAATCTGCGCTTCGCAAATTTCACAAAATATTCAATCTGCTAACATAAAGTTATTTACAACATATTACTCTGGCTTCTCAAGTTTTAGCGTTATTGAATTATAACAACTCCCATTAACACAAGAAGCTACAAGCTAGACAACCCTAGACTTATGCACAAGTCTAGGTTGTCAATACATTTGATAGCTTTCTTTTGTAAAACAAGTAACTCGCAACAACAAGTTTCTGTTACTGATCCTGACCAATTTAATAATGATGGACCAATAATGGTTGACCATAATGCATTCTACGATCATCCTCCACATCCTATAGACCAGGGGTAGCCAGGCTGACCCGGCCCAAGAGCCTAAACCAAAACCACGAAATTTCCAAGAGCCGCGGGGGGAGGGGGGGGGCAGGGCAAACGTCTGTTCAGAGCAATAAACAAAACTCGTACCACTTTCAATCTATCCGAGTCAAAAGCAGCCTGACTGTACATAAGGTAGCAGTAGCAGAAGACTACCGAACTGCAACCTGTCTTTCGATATAAAAAGCATTCCATTTATCTTTGCAGAGAGGTGGGGGAGGGGGCAGAGGGGGAGAGAAGGGAGCTGCGAGCCGAATTCAACACCCGAAGAGCCGCACGAGCCACAGCTTGGCCACCCCTGATATGGACCATTCCCGAAATGGGAATCTGGCTGCTCCCATTTTCAGCATTTGAGCATATGGCATGTGCCTCGCATGCCTTACGAAGCAACAAACATGCGTCTGCCGGGCTTTGATGAACACACACTGGGCTGCGATTTTGTGAACATTGGCACGGTGCACCTGTTCCACCGGTTTCATTGTAGAAACCACAAATGCTGGGAGTCCCTTTAGTGCTAGATTTAATCCGAAATGTCCCGCTACATTATGCGAAAACTGCTCGTGCAACAACCCACCCGTCTTAATAGTAACAGCCGTCATCACAGTGTTGCCGCTGGAACCACCCAACACTGCAAGGGAAGATGGCAAAAGGCTGCGATTAATACAAAGTTATCCACTGGAAAAATTTGTGTTATGAAGTGTCTAATTCAGAGCACAGAAGTGCTTTGCCGCCATTAATAATGGAATGATTTTGTTGACGCTAGAACGCTATTGCACTTGCAGGCATTTTCAAAAGCTTGAAGCAAAAAAGAGAAGCAAAAAAAGTCTTCCAGTACACGAGACGTGAAGGCAACCAATAACGTCAACCTACCGAACTGTCCGCCACGCAGGATAGACATAAATGTGCAAGTTCACTCGGGACGTGTTCCAAAATTTACTCAATCTCACTTTAGGGTAGAGGTTTTGTACTTAGGGGTTCGAATACCTACCCGCGTCCAGCATTGCTCTGTCTTGTCACGTCACAGGAGCAGCCAGAGTACCTCTGAACTATTCGGGTAAGATTTGGAACACGGCCCTAGTCTAGCTTTCGCCGGAATAGTCCCACTTTGCCGGGCAGCAAAGTCATCCCGCATATCCGAGACAAAACATGCGAAATATCATGAATGATGCACGAAAGAATACATCAGACTGGCAACAAGCTGTTGATGAGACCACCATGAACCTGGTTTGCCAGAGAGCCCACAAAGCAAACACAGTTTTATGGGCTCTCCTCAAAAGCCTACATGCCCAAATAAAAAAAAGTTAGAGAATAAAAATAACAACAGTTTGATCATGCTGACAACGCCCACTAAGCACAGAATCTGGGATAGGCCTATCACAGTTTCTTATGGTGTGATAGGCCTGAAGGCCCATCATGCCGTGAGAGTCAAACTAGACGGTGGATCACTTAATTTTTATGTACCGTATTTACTCACATAATGGACACATTTTTTTTTTAAATTGACTTATATTTGGGGGGGGGGGGGGGGGGGTGTTCATTACGCTGGGTAAAATTTTTGCATTTACACACTTTGCACAAATGTCATTTTAGGTGCCAATATGACACGGCAGGGTACTGTGGCACGTCTCCACTGACGGAGGCGCACCCACGGCTGGTCGGGTGCGCGCCCAGTAACCATGCTCTATAAATTGCGAACCTTTTTCAGGGCGCTTTTGGTGTGCCTTTTGCTGAAGAAAAAGTGCCCTACGAAGCTCACTCAGCAGAGAGCAAAGAGACTGTTCTTAGGCCTCAGCACTCTCACAATTTGACTGACTGAAAGCGAATCACAGACGACGGCATGTTTGTTGACATCAATGCATCCGATGGGCGAAACATGTCCGGGGCTGAACAATTCCTCGATCCCAGCTTTGCTAGACGCGATCGCCGCTCAGTTTCATGGTTGATCACCTCCGCAACCACGCAATTGCAGCCATTACGAGAGCAGCTTGGCTTGGCTTGACTTGGCCTGGTTGCTAGGCGGCAAAAGAAAATTGGCCTCAAGACTCGCGGAGCCGAAAATTAAAAGTGAGTTCGTTACTTAAAAAAACGAAACAAGTCAAAATATTGATGCCCGTTGTAAGGGGTGCGTTCATTATAAGAATATGTCCATTATGCGAGTAAATACGGTATATAAAATGTTTCAACAAACAAGCTCGTACGAGCGCCAAAGAGATAGCTTTTGCGCATTCCGAACGCCGTCCCTGGATAGCCTCAGTCGGCAAAGCACTTCTTTCACAATCTCAAGGCGAGTTCAAATCCTGCCAGAAACTGAAGCGTTTCTATATGGTTACCTACGGGTGTAAAGCTTTTTGGTGATTTTCGTTAAAAGGACCCTGCAACGACTTTTTGCTGTTTTTTTAATTTGCACTGAACCTGAGCACACCGAATGTAGTAACTTAGTGAACTCTCTCTTTTCTCGAAATTCGTTTTATTTTCAAAGTTATAGGCATATTAAAATTACAAAAACAAGCAAAAAATAACCTCTTTCGTGACATTGTTTGTCCTCTGTCTCCCCGCGCCTGCGGACCACGGTGACTGAGGAATGCGGGGAGGGAGGGGAAGACGGGGAAAGGAGGTGAGGCCGAGGAGAGAAGCTGCCCGGTAAAGGGGCAGCTCTCTCCCCTCGGCTGACCAGGACCAACAACGTCGCAATTTCGTCACATGCCGCGCGCATTCGGCACCACGGGGCGCCCCCCGTAGGAGGAGGAGGTTTTCGCGTCGTCCGGTTCAAAAATGACGCCACTGATATTTAGTTACTCTCTCCGTGCCCACTGGGCTGCCCGAACCACAAGAGACGTGGAAACCGCCAGAAAAAAAGGTAGAGGCTTAAATAGGATTGCAGGGCCTCTTTATAGCAGGCCCTTACTGCCAGCCATTACAGTAAAATGTTACTCTAAAAGCTTACGGAACTCTATACATAAATTAATTAATAAAACATGTTCTGTGTTAAGAAAAAAATAAAGAAATTTAACTGAAAGAAAAATAGCATGGCTACATACCCGTCCCCGTGGAAACTGTCTCGGTGTGGACTTCTGTCGGATCTGGCGGCTCTGCACACGGAAGTGATTCCAATATTTAGAGTGGCACCTAACCATAAAATGCCACGAAGACAACAGACCAATCTTAACGGCCACTGTCGTGTTGTGCCAAAGTCGAGTCTCTTCGGAAACCTGTGGCTCTGCAAAGAATGAGGTCGGATTCAACGTGCTGCCGCCAATTGAACGTCGAATTTGCCAGCTTAATAAAGTACACACCTGCATTGAAGTGGAACGTGACCTTTGTCATGTCCGTGTAATCTGGCGATTCAGCAGATAGAAATGAAAAATACACGAGAAACTGTTCAGACACCTTCCTAGCTACAAAAAGAAATGCTATCGGCAACATACCTTTCGTAAGAGCTGGCAATAGGCTGTTAGGTTCCTTAACATCTTCGTAAAATTCTGGCTCTGCGAGCACAAAAAGGTTTCAGATCCTTTATAGTAGAGATAATGCTAAAAAAAAAAAAAAAAAAAACTATAAGGCACAATTTTATGACAGACCTGATTTAACAGACACAAGATGGCTGCTAGGCTCTTCGTCCTGTTCAACATATTCTGGTGGTTCTGGAAGTGGAAGCATAGCATAGTGAAATTTTAGCTTATGCTGAAATGCAATAAAAACAACACTGTAGGATGCTAAAAGGTGACCTGGCTTGAGATCTTTGGCTTGCACCAAGATACAAAGGAAGGGGGCTAGATAGATGCTTTAAACTGCTTTTTAAAACAAAAAAGAAAACACTTTTGAAATTTTGTTTTTTGGAGATTGACAGAAACTTACCACCTTGTCCTGAAATATTTTGGAGAAATAAGCCTGTTTTATCCTGAAATGTTGACTTGAAAACGTTGTAAAATGGGGCTGTGCATGCTTTTCTGCTATTATTTCAGAAACTGCTATTTACACACTGCTCTTTTATGGAAGACATATCTCCATTGCATGCATTCAAAGTGTCCCAACCTCTTTCTTTGCCCTATAGGTGTGTCTCCGAGGTATCTAATAATACGTTAAACATAACGTCAAGTGTTTTTTAGATGCCCTATATACTTCCTGCAATAAATAATTTTGAAATGAAACAATTCAAAAGTGTCATAAAAACAAAATCTGTTAGAGCTTCCATTTATACTTTACTGGACTCTACATTCCTATCAGTTTACTCAGCTATGTTTATTTCCTGATTTCAATATTTTAATTTTGTCATAATCCCTTCCATAATCTTTGCAAATGAAACTTCTAATATGAAGGATATATTAGTAGTCAGATTGTAAAGGCAGATAAGTTGTGAAAATTTAATTTGTATTCTATCACAAGTTACATAAAAAAAAAAAAAAAGCTTTAGAAGCAGTGTTCCCCCTTAAACATTCCTAACCGAGAAATTATTGACATGTCTTAGTGCCGAGGGACATTTTAGGTGATGCTGAAAGGTACAGAAGAAAAGCTAGAAAAAACCAGAAGTGACCTGCTGCTGATAACGACAGTTACAAATAGCTCTTTTGTGTGGGCCTTTTCCTACATTATGCGACCTTTGTGAAAAGTTTAGATTGAAAATAGTTTGCACGGCATACTTTATATCATAATTTTCTGAGCGTCCACTTAAAGAAACACAGCTCACGATTTTTTGTCCCAACGTAAACTAATATAGATATAAGTCATTATGTTGTTGAACTCTAGGAATTCAAGTGTAAAGAAGAAAGATCTGTGCAGTGCAGAGATCTAACTTGCCAATGCATCAGATTGCTTTTTTTTTTTGCGAGATAAGTAGTTTGGAAAGATCACTTTCTACTGCTTTTCTCCGGAGCCATGAACAGTGGCTTAGATGAGGGTGCAACAGGTTGTCCGATTTTGTACCCATCCCATTTATGCTGTGTGTTCAGTCATACAACCCTCAAATGTTGCCATGTTTTAACCTGAAATGAGCCGCTACCTAAAGCGAAAACTACTCATGCAGCAACAAACCTGTTTTGATAGTAACAGCTCGCGTCAGACTGTTGTCACTGGAACTGCCCCACCCTGCAAAAAATGATGGCAGGAGGCTTTAATTACAAAAAAGTTATGTGCTGAAAATTAAGCTGCTATTAATGCCCAATTCACAGCATAAAAGTGCTTTGCTGTAACTATCAAAGAAATGATCCCACTCACAATAATGTGCTAATGCATTTACAGGTATTTTCAGAAGCCTGAAGCTGTGCATGAAGACAAGTTGACAAAATCTTCTAGTGTTCAAGTCACAGAACTTCCAACAACTAATAATGCCAATCCATTAAAACTATCGCCCACGTGGGTCAAAGACAAGTGCGCAAACTCACCCGGTCCATCGTCCGGCAGTATCGATTCGCTTTCTTCGGTGTCAGAATGGCCCTGCACATCTGAGACAAAACATAAAATATAATTTATGACGCATGGAAAAAAAAAATAATGTAAGGAAATTGTAACCAAGCTATTATTCAGACCAGCACATAATCGGCGTGTCAGGCAGGTGTCACGTTACGCTGCGCCAATAGGAATTTAGGTGCCGTTTTTCGCTGCTACAGACAATGCCGGCTTCGCTTCATGGGACAGTTAATGCTTTCGCGTAAAAAAATGAATCCACATTAACGTAACTAGAAACGGGAACTGCTAATGGCAACAAGAAATGACTATAGATCGGCTACACCAACGAAACTGACGACGCTTAGCAGCTAGAACAGAGAACCATGGTGGCAGGTTTGCTAACAGCCTTCTCGAGTGAATCAGTTATTCACAGCGCCTGGTGGTTTTTCGCACACAAAGTGAATCACTGAAACCCAAATATATGACGGACACTGCACGCATTTCATAGGGGATAGTTCGTAAAGCACTTCCAATACATATTAGCTGCGTCATGCCTGAACGGACGTGGTAATGTCACTGAAGTCAACGTGTCTTGCTAATGTGATGAAGCACGCACTTGCATTCAGCAACATCTGCCTCAGCTTTGGAAGACTGCAAAGCACTTGCTAAATGTTTACGTTTCACATCCCTACACTTTTTTCGGTTGAAGTTGAAAAGAGCGTCGTTTGGCCCCTTCTGTGTACTGTTAAGAACTGACGACACAGAATCTGCGCCGCGCAAACGACACCGCTACCCCTTTGAAGGGCGATGACATGAGCCGTCGCTAGGCGACGACAGGCGGGCGGATGGAGACATGGATAGGGAACACACTTCCAAGGTTTAGTTACGTCCGAATGGGAGGTATTCATAAGGCGTTTATCCGCCATTTTGTTGCTAGATGTCAGTGTGATCAGACTTATAAGCGATATGTAAGCTACGGATTCAAAGGTTTCATGTGAATCCTTGGAATGCTCGATTTCAGCGCGCGCAGAGAGCTCGGAACAGGAAACTTTTATTGAGATAACCTTGGACTACGAAGCAGCCAATTTGAGAACAGGGTCCATACCGTGGGCGCTCCCCTCCTTTTCCTCGTCGGACCTCCTCAGGGCCATCTGGAACTGGTCTGGGCCAAAAAAACCCTGGAAACAAATTAAATAAAATTTTTTAAATTATCACAAAGTGTGCCGCGATCGACAGTGGCAGCTGTCGCAGTATCGAAAGATGTGCTTTAGAAGACATAATTTAAGCTGATGTGCTTTAGGGTATTCGCTTTTAGTAGTATAGTCATAGGAGACGTGCGTTTGCAGAATGTTTTTACCAACGCGCTTTTGGCAAGAAAATAACACTGAGGCGGGCTTCTAATTCGGTGGTTGCCGCAGTAGGGCCCGCCGCCTTGTTCTCCTGCAGCTCGTCGTCTGCGGCCTGCCGTTGACGCTTCCTCTTTGCAACTTTCTCGCAAACGAGGCGTTCTTGACGCCTCGTGGGCTGCCGCTCGTACATGATATTTGGGATCCTGCGCCCTTTGCAGTGATGTGATTGGCCTCAGCTGTTTTGGAGCACCTTTTGGAGCAACCAAAACAATGTTTTGGAGCAGCAAAAGTGGCCTTGAGAGCAGCCAAAACAGCATTTTGGAGCAACATAAGTGGCTTTCGAAGCAGCTAAAATAGTCTTTCAAAGCAGCAAAAGCGACTTTTGGAGCAGATAGTCTTATAGAAATATTTGTTTCAGGTGCTGGACAAACGAACAACATTTTGTTCACCACAATGAACAAATTATAGTCAAGTTAGACCACCTGGGAGTCTTTCAACATGTAACTGAAATGCCTATGACATGACACATTTTGCAATGCTTCAGTTAAACGATACATATATATGTACCCACTATAGGTAAATAAGAAACAAACTGCACATATTAAAATTTATTTGAAAAGGACCAGCTTAGTAGTAAATAGCACAGCATTAGGTTGAATACTTCTATAATGAATGCAAGCAGTCTCCAACTGATAAAACACGTAACTACTGCAGTGCAGAGCGAAATTGTCCCGCGAGCAGAAATGGCTGTTCGATCTATGCCATGCCCCTCCACTCTGTCACCAACTAGTTCCCAAAATTGTATACAAAATGTAACTGTCCAGCATACGACAAAAAAAAAAGAGTCCAGCGGCACGTGCTTGCCATGCCGGCAGACGAAATACAAACTATACATACAGGAAAAAAAAAACTTGAGCACTCCGATGCATAATATCCCGAGCCAGGGTCAAAAAGTTCTTGGAGCGCTTTATGCAACAATTGAACTCGAGAAAAACAAGCGCGCTGTGTGGGTTCAGCGTGCAGACATTGCCTTCTTTGCTTTAGCTAACCTCTCTTCACCAACTTTCTTTCACGGCAGATTTTTCACGTACCGGGGTCCCTCTCGAAACAAAGCCCAGCGAGAGAAACCTAGGTAATCAATACTTCGACACAGCAGGATAAAGGAAAGATTTTTGTAGTAGCGTAAGATTTAAAGAAGGACAGGAATGTTGATGAAGATGCACTGGTATTTACATTTCAGTTTAGAAAGTGCCATATCTGCAGCGACGTGGGGACGCCACACCCGACGCCGCGAGACCACGGTGACTGGTAGGCAGGGACCAAATAGAGTTTTCCAACGATCGTTGCTTTCAGGAAAATCAACTCCCACCACGCAAAAACATGGTTTCACTTCACAGCATGACGGCATGGCTGGTACCCGGCAGCCATGCGTCAAAGCGTCCGCACATGCCCGCGTCCATCGTTGAAAATTTTTTTAAAAAGATGCGAGACCAGTGCTGCCAACATCCGCGGTCATTTTTGCCCTAAAGGAAAAATTGTGATTGCTTGCGTCCTGCTTTGACACCTTTTCTCAAGTCCCCGAGGAGTAAGTACAGTTCAATCTGTACCCAAATGCGCCACTTAATGCTAATCAATTTCGAACAATGAAAGAGACGATTATGCATTTGTTTGAAATTAAATGACTTTCCGTGTTTTTTTTTCTTCTGGCGTATCACTTGATGACTGGCTTACAGCACGTGTTGTACCTGTTTTTAAAAAAGGGGTCCCTCTATCACCAAGCAATGACCGACCCATCTCATTAACATGTTGCAAGCTGCTTGAGCATATTAATGGTAATGACATTAGCGAATATCTATGCGCCAACAACGTATTGAGAGTTTCAATACAGATTCAGAAAAGGCTTTTCAACCACCACCCAGTAAGTATCCACTGTTCATGAATTTGCAAGACTATTAGTAGACAAAACCGGCGAGTGCGATGATATCTTTTTTTTTTTTTTTTTATTTCGGTAAGGCCCCCATGGAAAACTAATTTCAAAACTACACGGTATTGGGCTTCCCCCAGAAATCGTAAAGTGGGTTCATTCATACTTACTACACCGCAAGCAGTTCATAGAGATAGGGGGTTGTTGTTCGGAGACGTTAAATGTACCATCAGGGGTGCCACAAAGAAGCATTTTGGGACCACTACTACTTTTTAAATTATGTAAATGACATAGTGGATGTCACAGACCCATCTACGAGCATTAGGTTATTTGCGGATGATTGAGTCTTATTCAAAAATATAGCTTCAATTTCTGATCAAAATTTGCTAGATTCAGATCTTGGTACAACTCAAAACTGGTGTAACAAATGTGACATGAAATTAAAGCTTGATGAAAACAGCCTTCTTCGTATTACTAACAAAAAGAAGCCTTTCATCTTTTCTTACCTCATTACTAATTTTTCCCATTTCTGAAGTAGATCACTTCAAATACCTTTGAGTCATCATTGACAAAACTTTGAGTTGGCCAAATCATGTCAACGTTTCTTTAGCAACTTTCCACAAGCTCGGTCTGGTTCGACATAACCTTAACAAACAACGACCATCACCCAACGTCAAGTTACTTGCCCACACCGCATTCATTTGACCAAAGTTAGAATATTGTTCCATAGTCTGGGATCCATTTACCAGAAAAACATAGCGACATTTTAGAGAAAGTTCAAAGACACACCATTCGTTTCCATCTATGGAAAATACAAAGCGCACAGATTCCCTGTCATCGTTAATGCAAACACACAAAACTACCGACCCTTCAGCACCGACGTAAGATAGCTCAGATGCTCATCTCATCAAATATGTGCACAACCACTCGCATACACAAAAGGTTTTGTGAATACCTGCCAAGTTCGAAGAAACCAAATCCGGGAAAGTTGGAGGGGTGGGGGAAAGGGGAGGGGGGGGGGGGGGGGTTAAACAGAAATATTGGCAACAAAGTTACATAAAGACAACTTCATTACACTTATATTGCACTGCTCATTATAGCGAGATACAGCTGGGCCTCGCTATCATTGCAACCGTTTGTTACGACGGCTAAGTGCGGGGAATTTGGGGGGGGGGGGGGGGGGGGGGGGTAATTTGCTTTTTTTCTGGACGTTTTGCTGTCAATCGTATGTACAACCGTACAAACTGGTAATACGAGAGACTTGGTAGGTATGTTTGTGCTTCAGCGGCGAGCATGTTCGGTGGGCACGCCGTGACGGGCCATTTGTTGAAGACACGCAAAATCATACATTTTCACACTACAACACTCCTCACCTCGCTCGTTTCAAGTCGACGACATTCCCCCGAATTCGACGGCAGGCACGGAGGCGGCAGCTTATCGAGCGAGCCCGCAAGTGAAGAAACTGCCGTGGCACACGGGCCACGGTCGGTTCCTTCTCGGCCACGGCGTTCTTCGCCCGTTGCATGCGTGCCGCCGCCGCCGTCGTCGTCGTCGAACGCAGACGTCGACGGCGCGCAAGAACTTGGATCAACATCACGGCGTTCACTGCCGCCGCTAGACACTGCACTTTTCTTTTCTGCTGGAAGCTGCCTTCCCGCACGGCCCCTCCTCCTGGGCTTCTCGACTTCCAGGAGGTACGACGGACATTCCAGAAACCTGGTCGGTACGGCGTCCTTCGACAAGCAAGCACGTCGGGGCGTGCTGACCAGCACCCTTCCGTTGTATTCGGCCTTCCAGGTCTTTGATACGAGACAAGGCTCGAAATGTTTCTCGCAGACGTGGTCAGTCGCCTGAAGCTGGCGGTCCTTCCTTCGTATCGCACGTCGCCAGAGCTCGAGTAGTGCCTCGTCTTTGGGAGCAGCAAATATTGAGTACTTCTCGCGACAGCGCTTTTGTCCACTCATGCAACGGGGGACAAAACACTTTTTGGCCATCACGAGATTCCTTCATACGGAAGCACGGCAAAACAACCGTACAATACAAAAGCAACAAAACGTGAATGACTCCGCTGTAACTGCTGTAACTCCGCTCAGCTGCTCTGCTGTCGCTCCAACGTGTCGCGAACTTTTGTCGAACCAGATTTTTTGGTCGACCCTTCGGGGTTCGACGAACCTTCGAACTTTTCACCAAATTCGACCGGTTCGACTTTGTGGACAGTGTGGCTAGACCTTGATACAAGCATGTCTAGGTTTGGAGAATTTATTTTTTTATGCAAAGGGTTATTTTATTTTGTGAACAGCTGCAATTAAAATAAACTAATTCTATTCACTGAAGAAGTTAATAACTTAAATTTTAGTACTGTATTGATTGAAATAGCCGATCAGCGCTGCACTTAATTCATCTCTTAGCCATTACCATCCAATCCGAAGCCAACTGGCCAGCCTGTCGCGCATGCGCACTCGAGTCGAACCTCAATACAAGGTTCGACGAACTTTCCACTAAAAGGTCGAAAAAGTCGAACCTGGTCGAACTCGAACCGCGGCCGGTTCGCGACACCCCTTTAACAGCAACCACTTTAACGCTGTAATGCCCAGCGTATCTTATCTGATGTCGTCTATCCAGACTTTTTATTTTATTTTTTTTTATACTAAACGCATTTTCGGAAATTAAATGCCCACTCTATCATCCCCAGATACATTTCCCGGTATTTTTCGCAAAATGTAGTTCAAATATACACCGCAAGGGGTCCTACAGGCCGCCAAGCAGACGATACGGCGAGTCAACATAAACTTTTTTACGGACGTACCGCTAAATCAGGAGGCGAGTTTGCGACGTTGATATTTGCCATTTCTTCATTAGGCACAGTGAACGATCAGTGCACAGTTTTGTTGACTGTACAGTATCAGCAGTTAGTGGCATGTCTTGAATGTCCCTCTTTACTTATCGTAAATCGGAAACCAACACGCTCAACCATCTACACTTGTCAATTCTTTTGGGGATATTTTAAATGTCAGATGTTTCAGCTGGGCGTTTTGTTATAACTCCTTCTTTACAGATTTCTCCGCACGGGACATTCTCAATCGCGTCTGTGTCGGTGGTGAATGCAGTGATATCGACCTTTCTGAAGACAGTGATGAGTGGGCGGCGGAGATAAGCTCACCGCAAAACCGGCAGATGCGGAGAAAAGCTCACCAGCCTCTGAGCAGATGCAAAAAAAAGCTCACCGATTTTTTTTTTTTTTTAAGACACACGCAAAAAAAAAAAAAAAAAAAAAAAATTTAAACGGCTTAGATGGAAAAAGGATGTCGTAAAATGATTTTACAACGAAGAAAAAAATTTTTAGAGACATAATTACGGCGCGAGATGATTTTTTGTCAAGCGAGGTCCTTCTTTCCACTTTTCTCTCTCGCGCCTGTGCGCTCCGCCGCTAGGAGGTGTTGGCTCCGCGGGGAGGAGAGGCAACACGGGAGAGGTATCCGCTTGGCTGCTCGGCCTGGCTCGGCCAGCTCGGCTAAAAAACGTGCAACTTTCGCCGCTTTCGCTCATTTGTGTGCTGGTGGTGGAGGCGGTGGTAGTCTGCGCCGCGTCTTTTACGATGGATCCCGAGTAGAAGCGCAGACTCCACGACCGGATCGGGCAGCTAGGGCTTCGCCCCAACGAGGACACGCCTCGCACGCCAGCGAACCCACCCGCGGAACGCTCCGAGGCCAGCGATACGCCTGCGGACAGCGTTGCCGGTGGGTCGCAGCTCCCGCCCGAGTCATCGAGTAGACTGTGCCTCACTTACCGGTGACGGAGCCTTTGCTGCTGTTGGCGTCGGCAAGAAAAGCGTTGGGACCGTCCCTGGCTTTAAGATCACGCGTTGGGTTCGCTCGCTGCGTGGCTCGAAGGCCTCCGGGGCGAAGTGACGAGAACACACTCGGACATGCTTCTCGCCAGGTGTGCCAGGCGTACGCCCGATCGCTTCTAGCCAGATCACTCTCAAATGCTCGTCCGCCGGTACCGCGTGATTACTGAAATCTTCCTGGTCTCGATCACGAGAGCTGCAGCCTTTCACCCAGCAGCGGCGTCGCTTTCGTGGAACCGACATGTCACAAACAACTCCGCGCCCCTTCGCAGAGAAAATGGCGGTCTTTCTTTGGTTTCGTAAGCGTCAAAACAGAAGTGATGATTTTCTTATACTTGAGTTTCCCAAAAGTCAAAGTATTTTTGTTACAAAACAAGTGAAAAAAAAAAAATGGAGAAAATAAATAACTTTCAAAGACCATAGAAAGCTTTCGAAAGAGCGCAAGCACTACGTGATAAATAAGGGCCAGTCACGTGATAAATATGGGCCACTTTTCCACGGTGCCCGCGGGCGCCAAATACAAATTCGTTTTGCGCCGTAAATAGCTCTAAAATTTTTTTTCTTCGTTGTTAAATTGTTTTATGACATCCCTTTTTCATCTAAGCCGTTTAAAAAAAAAAAAAAAAGCTTTTTCCTTCGCATGTGTGCTTTAACTTAGCAGGTTCTGCTTCAAACGTGGCAATATAACGCAATTCGCATTCGTCACTTCATTAAAAGTATGTCCTCTTCTCTGTTATGTTCTTGAAGTTTATTGGGCATATTTACTAATTCCTCAGAAATTAGTAATCACCCATTCTGTGTATTAATTAAGCCACAAGTATAAAATAAGAACATCATACACTGGTAAAAAAAGAACAATTTATTGACAGCTGACAGTGCGCCTTCGAGGTTTATTCTTTGCGAGCCAATATGAATAGCGGTGTGTAAACCGTTTCAGCTCCAAATATTTTGTACTGCCTAATAGATAAGTAGGTGTTTGTTGATGTAATGAGTGCCGGCTACGCTGTTTCTGTTAATTTCACTTTAGTTGCAAGAACAGCCTTGTCCTGTCGTGTTTGTTGTCTTCACTCCGGCGGCGTCGTTTAAGCGGTTTTCATCATGTAACATTTACCAACTTGCCCTGTTTGCTACATTACACAGGACTACTTATTATATAGGTCATGAGTAGCAACGCTGAGAGTGTGCAGCTCTGAAGGTCACGGGTGGTTCGCAGTAGAAGGGCACTATCGCACAAAGGCAACGAGCGGAAACACCAGCACGAACGGCTAGAAGACGGGCATGTCCGCAGAAGAAAGAAGCCTCGATATCCTACTGACTGTTTTATCCTGTTTTCAAAGGTGAACAAAAGCTTCAAAGAGAATTTCAGGCACCGCATTGTTGCGCATGCACTTTCGGCATTTACAGTTGTGATTTTTAGGTTTTAGGCAGACATTATTAAGTTTTCAAACACTTTCCTGTTCTTCAAGTGCATAAAGTTTTCAGTAAGGCTTCGTTGCATAGAGAGTAAGCCATAGAACACTCGCCCGCAATTATTAATTTGGGAGAAATATACCCAATAAGCTTAACAAATATTAAAAAAAAAGGATATTTTCTTTTTTACAAAGCTGAATTTTAATGTTAATAAATTGATATAGGTTGCGTATGATCCAACAGCCTCCATATAAAAAGAAGAAAAAAAAAATTGGTGAGCTTTTCTCCGCATCCACCAATTCTGTGGTGAGCTTTTCTCCAGTGAGCTTATCTCCGGTGAGCTTTTCTCTGGTGAGCTTTTCTCCGGTGAGCTTTTCTCCGGGATACGTGATGAGTATTTGGCTTGAGAACTACCTCCACCGAATCCCGGAAAAAAGTCGTCGGACGATGAGGATGAACAGATCATCTTAGGCTTCATCAGGCTTCTTCACGCAGTTCAATAGTGGATTGTGGACGATGGAAAAAAGTGCTACTTAACGGCAATCCAGGTTTGTTCTCTGAAAAGTTTTCCAAACCTGGTGACCTCGATAAACCTTTCGGTTCTTCAGACAATTTGGCCTCTTACTGAGCATACAAACATCTACAGCACTCAGAAAAAGGGGCAGTGTGTGACCACAACCAGGGCAGAACTGGAACAACTTTTGGGAATATACTTGCAGACGGGTTTGTTTCAGATGCCGAGTGTACGGGGCTATTGGAAAAACGGTACACGATACACCCCGATCTCTGATGTCAAGGAATAGGTTCGAGAGACTAATGCAGTGCATTCATTTTGTCAACAATTGCGACGTTGCTCAGGAAGACGAGTATGACAAGATATGAAAACTCCATCCCTGGATTTCAAGCCTGCAGTGCAACTTCGCTCAGGTTGAGCAAGAGGAGCTGAATGCCGTTGATGAGATTACGGTAGCTTTCATGGGAAGGAGCAATCTAAAGCATCCTCAATCCTCAACAAACCGACCCTTTAGAGCTTCAAACTTTGGGGACGTGCTGGAACACCTTGGCTCCTATACCAATTTGAGTGTTAAAGAATTAGAAACAGTGTGAACAAGATGAAGGACAAGAGGAGACGTAGACAGACAGCGCTGCTACCTTTCGATTCTTCAATATGCAGAATCAACTTGGCCAAGTCTTCACCCTACTACAATACCCATTTGAGGTGTACCAGGGACAAAGCAGAAATAAGTATGAACATGGGCTTGGAGGCGGAACAGTCTTACAAATATGCTCACTGATTCCAGAAAACAAAAACTTCAAAGTTGCAGCAGACAACTTTCTCAGCAGCACTAACTTAGCGGCTGAGCTGCAAAAGAAAGGCATTTATTGCGAAGGAACATTGCGTCAAAACCGACTGCAAGACTGCAAACTCATGACCGAGAAGGAGTTCTGAAAAGAAGGAAGTTCTTTTGACTACCGTGTCAACAATGCGAGGTCCATTGCCACTGTGAGATGGTATGACAGTCGTGCTGTTTCACTCGTGTCTAACTACTGGTCTGTCAAACCTGGTGAAACCGTGAGGCGATGGGACAGAAAAGAGAAAGAACATATCAAGATCTCTCGCCCCCACATCATTGGAGCAAACAACAGCTTCGTGGGCGGAATTGATCTTCATAATTATCTGGTTTCTTTGTACAAGAACTGCATCAAGTCAGGCAGGTGGTACTTATACATCTTCTACCACACAGTCATGATCACGGCAGTGAATGCGT